CTTATTATGAAATAAATCACTTACTTAAATAAAATTTCAAATGTTTCAACAGAAATGTTAGTTAGAATGATTTCAATAACATTATTTTTTTTAATTACGGTTGATAATTCTTGGCGAAAGAATGATGAACGCTGACATAAAATTAAAGAATGTGACTTAAAGCTCCGTCCATCAACTTGAATTATAACATCATAATAAGATTCAGTTTCAATAAGTTGTGCAAAATCATGAGAGAAATGTTCGAGTAATTTAGTGCCTGTTTGCGACATTTAAGAAAGGTTTAAATTGGATTGTATATTTGAGAAAAGTTAAATTGAGTTGCAAATTTGAGGTTTTAAATTGAATTTCGGGTTAGTGTTTTGCGAGTATCTTTACGAGGATAAATATATAAATATATATATATAAATGTGATGTTATTTATGGCAAAATTATTTGGAAGAAGTTTTAAAGTTTCGAATTAAACAGGAAATTTATAGAAAACCAATTTTTTAAAGTTTCGAATTAAACAGGAAATTTATAGTAAACCAATTTTTAAAGTTTCGAAATAGACAGGAAAATTATAGAAAACCAATCACAGCTATTGTATACTTAAATGTTGCTTTTGTATTTTTAATTATTTATTGTTTGATTATTTTGATTATCAGAGTAAAACAATCAAACGACACTTCAAATTTACTTATAAGGCAAAACATTGAAACCTACGAATAATGTATTAATGTTTGACAGAGAATGCGGTTTTTTTCTTTTTATTAAATTATACGCGCATCTATCTATCTTTTAATTACAATACAATTGTTTTATATGCAGCGTATTTTCTCTGTACCATGATAAAATCACACATATATGATTCTTAGAAGAGTTAAAGTACAAGCAATCGAATGATTTTTGGTCTAGTTGGACGAGGTTAGATTTGTTAACTGCGATCCCAAATTTGTGAAACGGGTTTTACTAAAATTGTGCTTACCGATACTGATTATCGTTATATCAATGATTTATGGTCTATTTATTGTAAATGATAATTTTGTAATTTCACTCCCACATTTTTTCCATTATTGAGTTGCCATATTTGTACTGCTGTACCCCTGTACGTACCAGGAATTTACTCAAGTACGTAGTCATTATGTACAACATTTACAGAAATTTAGAATGTTGTAAACAAAATCTTTCAATACATAGTTGGTTATTATAATCAGTGTTAAAATTAGTGTTTCAGGGTTTTCATGAGAATATGATTATAAGTTTTTAAACAGTAAAAATTCTTGATTGTTCACTATTAAAAATTTTTTGAGAACAGTAAAATAAAAATAGTGTTCTCATAAGTAGTAGATAGATAGATGTGTTATGTAAGATATAATAGAAATTATATTATCAAGTTATATATTATTATGTTATATATTATTAATTTTATTTTTATTTTTTTTTAGTGAACATAAACTATTTAGTAAATTTGTTTTTCAATTCCTAAAATAATTGATTTTCGAAGTACGAAATTATAGTTTGAGAACACTTACAACTATTGTTCTGTTCTCATGTGAACATTCATTGAGTCTGAGATTTCAAACACTGATTATAATCATAGTGTGATGATTGTTATTGAACATATGAACATACATTAGCATGTATAACGATAAAATTACACAAATTAGATCATGTGACGAAAAGCATCGTACGCACGTATACAGTATATTTGTTATTGACTGGAATGTCTCCTGATACTAGACATTAAACTTTATTATATTGAAAATATGCAGCAGCTGATGTACAAACTGAGATGATTACGATCATAAGCTAATATATCGACAATTTATCCTTACAAGATGATATATTACGAATCAAAATATTTCCGCTTCTGTTTTTCCTCCAATGAATTCTGATATCAAAGATATAGTAGACCTCACTGTTTTTTTATTTTATTTTATTTTAATAACATTATGAAAAAAGTAAGTTACAATCAAGACCAACATTAAGCAAAGGACCTTGAAGCATCGAATATTGTTATTAGGGCTTAGGAAATAAGACCACATGTTTTGACCCCAAACAACCAATCATAATTGAAGATTATTAGTAATTAGAATTATTTCAAAGCAAATTTTATAATAACGGCCTTTTTAAACTTTGTACATCTAACTAAATATGTAGATTTACATATTTCATTATACGCCAAAAGTATGTAAAAAGGTCATTTTTTGAAAACTTGCTTCCGAATTCACCCTTGATAGTTACTAACCAATCCTAAAATACCCGAATATTCAAACAACGGATAAAAGTACTTCTTTTTATAACTTAGCATTGCTGTTTTGTTCTGTTTTTTTTTTTGGTTTTACCTTGTCTAGATGCTAAAAAGTTCTTTCATTAGTTGTATACAAGTTCTTCGGTAATTACTTTTTCGACGTTACTTAGAAGCATAAAAAAATAATAATAAATCAAGATCGGCCAATATGCTAATGATAATTAGCTTTAAAAAATACTATATAATGTAAATGCTAATTTAATTAAATATATAAAACAATACAGTTTATTAGTTCAATCGCAAACATATAAAGTTTATCATTTTATACGTATTTTAATCGTTATTACAGTTTAATTGAAGTGTTAAAAATATAAACAAACAGTATAAACCTATCACTAAGTTAGTTTATATTTTCATCAGGTTTTGTCTGAAGTATTGTCGGCATCACTAGTTTGCACTACCTAGCAGGGTTGTTTCTGGCATATCAATTTCCCTGTTTACTATCTTTTCGATCTGTTAACTTGTCAACTCAAATTAATTCCGATTAAGCACTACTTTATATACCGGCTTCAGATAGGTGATATAACAATTATATCGAGAAGTTGCCTAATTATTGTAATCTTTATTATTAACAGGCATTTTCGTGTATTCTTGGTGATGAAGTGCAAGTAAATCATATACGCTAATAATTTAATAATTAATGTTATAATTTTAACAAAAACGTTCAGAAAAATTACAACGTATATGGTATACGTTAAATTAAAAACTTCGTCATATTAAAATCATTATAATATTATAATTCGCCAATACTTAACCCTAAAATAACTCTGCATTTAAATTTTGATCTGAAACCAACCTTAATCCGATGCGCACTGGTAATTTTAAAAATAGAATTATTACAAATTTCATAATAAATCTATTTGAGTGTCGTCAAGGGAAAAGGGCACCTCCGTTTTTTTAGCAAATTATAAATTAATTGATCCGATTCAGCCCTTATCATCGACTGATAAATTGGGCTTTATTTCGATATGATGTACCCCTGAAAAATTGATCACGAAATATAATTTATGACGTTGTAATTTTCAGGGGTTTTTTATATAATTTAAAGTCGTTTGTCAGTCGATCATAGGGGCTGTCGAATTAATTTACTAAAAAAACAACAAAGGTGTCGTTTGCCCTTGGCAGTGTGACCTGTGAAACGAGATCCCGGAAGCACGTGGAAGGAGGTGATCGAGGTGGCGCAGTAATAACTAACGGCTATGTCGATCACCTACCTAATATGGGCTTCCCGGGATTATCGCTCTTAAAAGTCGTATAGTCTTTAGCAATTATAAGGGTAATAGTGGTAATAAGGGATATATTATATTTAGGGGCTTTAAGTAATACAGGACATTAAAAATCTATACGTTAAATAATAAGTTTAATATGTTTAATAGCTGTAGGAGCGCATATTTAATATAACAGTATATAATAAAGGCTTCGAGCCCTACCTGAGCAGTAGTTTTCGTGCTTGCAATACATTTTGACCCAAATACTTTCCTGCTTTCGTGACATTATATTATAAAACCTACGATCCACTCTCCAAATCTAACCGCCTCTTATCGACTAAGCCGTTCGTAGGTTACACGACGTATCCATTTGTCAAGCGACTGACTCGCCGTTTCGCCTGTGTTACTTCTCTTACTTCCGTTACTTCTGTTACTTATGCTACTTCTTCTACTTATGAAATAAATGAGATATCGGCCTTTTATCAAATATAATTAGGATATAACGGATATTACATTTATGTTAGAAATTAAGTACCAATGTAAATAAAAGTTTTATTATAAATAAAGGGCCTTCTGGCCAGGAGGAAAGAAACGGAAGATACCCCAAGTAAATACATTTTTGCAATACATAAAAATACGTTCCTGACCCATAATAAAAGTGAACTAGAACCTAACCCAAACTGCAAACTATCGTTAAACCCATCGTTATCCATATCGTTAGCCCCCTTGCAAATCACTAAACCGCATTTAAATCGTTCGCCGTAAGTCACGTGACCGAACCGTTAACATAAGAGAACTCCGACCCCGATTCGACGTATCGTAAACCCAGGTTAAGAAAGTAGAAGGAAGATAAGAGCAAGCAAGGGTTAATAGAAGAATAGGTTGAATGAAAGACTTAGAAGAGAAGAATAATGCTTACCTACGGATAAACCACCCAACCAAATCTAACACGCCTATTTCGACTTAGCCACCGTAGGTTACACGAGGATTGGAAAGAATTAGCGACAGACTCGCCGATTTGCCGCGCAACACTAGAATTTTCTTATCAAACACTTATTTTGCACAAGATAATAACTTCATACGTTGATTTACGAGAGAGCATTAGTCTCGATAATTTTTTTTATAAGTGTTGAGTCTAATAAATTCAATTTCCCATTATGACATACATATATTTTATAATACATTTTAAAAAGAGCAGGCATGTTTAATATGCTCATGGTTCGAATCATGATAAGCTTGGTTCATTCAAAACAAAAGTTGAATGAGCCTAATTTGAAATCATATTAAATATCTAACGTCATTTAGTAGAGAATTTTGATTTTAAATTCGAATTCTCTATAACTCTTCTATTTTTTAATTTTCAATCATGGCAATGACAGCACCCACTGAAAGAAGTAAATATATTATTACTTGGAGAAACTGGTGTAGGAAAATCTACATTTATCAATGCTCTCTACAATTATCTTAAGTTTGAAACATTAAACGATGCATTATCTGGCAATATGGAAATATTAATCCCATCAAAGTTCACAGAAACGGATGAAAATTATGAGTTTAGAACTATAGAACTTGGAGACGATTCAAATGAAAATTTATCAAATATTGGAATGTCAGCCACTTAATAATGTAAAGAGTATCAATTTGACTTGGGAGATGTGATCGTAAGATTTATTGATAGTCCAGGAATTGGTGATACCATAGGGATTGATAAAGACAAGGAAAATTTTGAAATATTCTCAAATATATTAGCAATTATGAATATTTAAATGGAATTTGTATTCTTCTCAAACCAAATAATGCTTAATTAACCATATTATTCAAATTTTGTATACAAGAATTATTATCTCATTTGCATAAGAGTGCCAAAGACAACATTGTTTTCTGTTTCACTAATTATAGAGGAACTCTTTATTGTCCAGGTGATACATTACCAGCGCTTAAAGAACAACTCTGTAAACTTGAACAAAGATCTGGTGTTGAAATAAAGATGAACAAAGAAACCATGCACTGTTTTGATAATGAATCATTTAGATTTCTAGCTACATCCAAAAATGATGAAATAAGCTTTACAGAAAGTTGGAAAAGATCAATAGATGAATCTGTAAGACTATTTGAATATCTTTTCTTCCGTAATCCTCATAAAGTACAACATACTTTAACACTCAATGAAGCTAGAAAAATTGTATTACACCTCGTTAAACCTCTTGCAGGCATAGAACAACGTATTCAAACAAATATTAATCTAGTTAAAGATCGTCAAAAAGAGATTGATAGTTGCGCTGAATCTATTCAAGATCTTAAAAAGAGATTGTGTATTCTACAACAAGTCATTGAACCAAGACAATTAGGATATCCCAGAACGGTATGCACTGGCTAAAATTATGAAGTGGTAAATGGGAAAGTGAACTACAAATCTCATTGTCATGAACATTGTTATTTGAATGGAGTTGAGACTGAATTGCTTAATAATGCAAAATTATTGGAGTGTATTGCTATTAAATCTAATGAACTTGTCAAAAATGTGGCAATTACGCGAAACATATGCTTATAACTAATGATTTTTATTATAAAACTGAAAATGTTATTTATAAAACTGTAGAAAAACAGATTAATAATAAAAAATCATTTAAAGAAACAAAAGAAAGTGCCATAAAAAGTTGTGAACAAAACGCGGGCAACTAGAAAATGAACAAAAAAGATAACTGAAATTAATATCCACTTGCGAAATTTCTAAAACAAAGTGCGATAGCCACTTTTAATGTTCATATGCTGAATACTTGGATCATTTCATACGTAAAGAAAAAATCAAGAAAAGTGCTAATCCCTCTAATTATAATAATAATGCAATTATTGAAGGACTTGAAAAGACGAAAAGAGAATATTTGGAAAATATTGAAGTTTTAAAAAAAATGATCGCAGCTAATGATTCTTCTGATGATGTAATCACTCCAGAAGATATAATCAGATATGAAAAAGAATTATATAATTTGCAAATCAACAGAGAAACTTTGAAAAATATGAAATTTATGGCAGAACGTGATCAAGCTTTTATATTTAATCAACATAGATCTAATACTAATAGTCATAGAAATGCACGTAAATCAGTATCTAAACTTTTTGCTCAAATATATAGGTGTTAAGAATTGATATTATACTGTATTTAAATTTGATGCCTTGTAACATTCAATATAAATCAATTCAAATCCTAATATTTGCTTTTTCTTTGGAATAAAATAAATAATAAAAACATAAGTAACAAGCGTATATTAATGTAATGCAATAATATTGAATCGAAAAAAATTTTTAATATGATTAATTTGTAACTTTGCAAAGTTTTTTCTCATCATTTTAATTTATTATTTACATTTATGAACCTGTGAATCGATAATATAATATGATCTTTGATTCAAAAGTCGCTTTAACTCGAAATTTTAATGATTTCGGCTTATTAAAAATATTAAAGAATTTTAATCATACTATAACTTATAAAACTTAATTCTAACCAAAAAATTTGTCTAAATAAAAAAATTTGGTTTTATCGAAATTTGATTTGAATATATTTATGTGATCTGCTAAATTTTGATTTCAAATATGAGACACTATTTTCTTGCATTATATAGAGTTCATATTTACTCTTAAGAGAATACACGTAGAGACACAAAAGAAAAATAATATATTATGTTTGCTAACTCCTTATATACATATGTTGTGATTAAGTCAAATGAACATATCCAGATCCACCGCTATGTGACATAATTTTGAATCTTTAATCGCATATTTGACTTGGTCAAATAACTGGCTTATCTGATATACAATGATGAAGCCATATTTTAGAATTTAAAAACATATTACAACTATTCTTATAATGATTACCAGCGTTGTCAAAATCATAAACATTAATTCGGAAATACGAAATTTTTATCTACTTCAGGAATAATGAAAATAGCTGTAAACTTTTAAACTTATTGGAAACTTTGATTCTAGAGTGATTCGAATTATTAGATGACTCATAAAACAAAAACTTAGGAAATTTCAAAAATAAATTTTTAGTTTATTCGAAATTTATGAGAACAGCTACGTTAGCCATCAAGAGATCTAGCCCACAGTATTAAAAAAGTGCAGTTAAACCTGTTTAAATAAATATAAATGAATAATGAACTTTGAAACAAAATTATTTACGAAAGCTAATTGATAAGTCGCTTTATAGATAAAAATCAATTTAAGATTTTAAACTTATATTAGATTTTACAAATTTTCTATACCGATGTCTATTTGTTGACTACATCAACAACGATAAATTCTGTATTTTTAGTCACGAATTTCTTAATTACTTACATGTCAATTATTATAACTGCGTCATTACACTTTTTTGGAGTGACATTATCATATGATAAATATGATATCATGTACATACTCTATTTTTTTTTAACAGTTAAAATAAATACCATGCCTTACAGCGTTAATTAGATATCAAAAAGAATCCAATTTACAAATCTATACAATTTCATAATGACAAGTGTATTTTCTGACGACTTAACTGAAGATTTTAAAAAGCTATATGAAACCAAAGAGCATTATGACACAATTATCATTGTTGGAGAAGAACCAAATGTTGAGCGAATTTATGCTCATTCTATAATTCTTTGTACTAGATCAACTTATTTTCGTAGTGCGTTATCTGATAAATGCGTTAAAAGAAAAGATGGTTATTGGATTTTATCAAAACCTAATTTGAATGCTTTAACTTTTGAAATTATTCTAAAGTAAGCGAAATATATTTATTTAAATAATTATTTTTTATAACAATCATTTTAAAATTCTAATTTTTATACTGTAAATAGGTTCCTGTATTGTGGTATAGTTGACTTTAGCAACCAAAAACTTGAAACAATCTTAGAAATTCTAGTTGCTGCAGATGAATTTTTAATTCAAAAACTTATTGATTTTGTTCAAACCTTTTTTATAAGTAATAGTTATACATACTTACAACAAAGTCCTATTAAAATGATTCATTTTATTATTCATAATAATCAATTCAATGAAATCAAAGAAGCTTATTTGGAGGAAATTTGCAGAAATCCTCATTTACTATTTGATTCAGAGGAATTTCCTTTATTAGAAGAAGATGCGCTAAAATTAATTCTTAAATGTGATAACCTCGATATGAAAGAAAATATTATCTGGAAAAAACTAGTTGAATGGGGGATCGCACAAAATACAGTGCTTGAAGATACTAAGAGTGATGGCATGATGAGTGTAGATATTAAGAATAATGACATGATGTATGAAGACACTAAGAATAATGGCACGATGTGTGAAGATACTAAGAGTGATGGCATGATGTGTGAAGACAAGGAGAATTATAACATTAATATATTAAAAGAGACATTAGGTGAATTAATTAAACTTATTAGATTTTATCAGATGGACCGTAAAGAGTTTATTCCTGAAGTATGGGAATATATGAGCATCCTTCCTAAGGATTTAATTAAAGATGTACTACGCTGTTATTTAGACTCAGATGCTAAACCATTCTATCAACCATTTTTGATTAGATGGGGGAACTTTAAAATTGACTCAATATTAATAAATAGGGAGATTGCACTATTATTGATGAAATGGATAGATAAAAAATCTAAAGATGATAAGAACTTAAAGGGATTTAAATACAATTTTAATCTTCTTTTTCGAAGCAGCTTAGATGGTCTTTCATCCCAAGCATTTCATCGAAAATGTGATAACAAAGGTGCAACATTTATTATTGCAAAAATCCAAGATTCAAATTTTCTTATTGGAGGTTATAATCCACTTGATTGGATTGGTAAAAATGTAAGGAAACGAACAAAGAGTAGCTTCTTATTTGCAACTGATTCTAAAGATCTCAAAAATGCAGTAGTGTCACGTGTTAATCGTAATGATGTTGGGTTTGCTATTCATTGCAATGATAGTCAAGGTCCAATTTTCGGGGAAGGCCCCGATTTATATGTTCCAAATAACAGCACTACTTGGAAATTTAAACCAAAATCCTACCCTAAACTTATGAACTCAACGTCACATACAATCTTGGATTATGAAGTCTTTCAAGTAGTTAGCAACGTTACGGAGTTTTCTGTCAAAGATCAAGTATGAAGCAAATTAGTAAAAAAATATTAAATGAAACAAGGATAAAGGATACATTGAGAGAGTTGAATTTATGAAGTGCAGTTATGTTGATGAGCATAAAGTAGTTAAATTTGTATAATTTGTA